AATTTCATGTCATTAGCACCTCTAGTAATATATTTACTGAGAAAAATGGTGACGTGTTCAATACTTATTTTACCCGCTGTATTTGCAAGTTGAGTCACATCACACAAATGTAAATCCTTTACTTCCTGGATATAATTAGCTAGGCTCGCCTACCTTTGTCTGCCCTCAATGGTTACACCTTTTGAAAGTTGAGAATGAATGGAAATCTTCGGAACTACTTTGCATTCAGTCAGTTATGTGGCTGTAATGCCAGGCCCTTTCAGCTCTGAAAAATGTGTAGTTTCAGTTTTAAACACAACTGAGCACTGATCTATCTGTGGAAATAACTAGCTTGTGCAAAGCTTTGAATTTCTTCTTGCAGACAAGACAGTTTGCAAATTTTGTTGTGTTGCTTTTGCATTTATTAATATTCACGGTTCAATGGCTTTGAATCTTTAAGAGATTTCACTTCTTACCCAAGGAATTCGATGGAATCCAATAAAATGTCYAGTTGCCTTTGATTTGACTTGCTAAGATTGCTAACAGAACTATTTTAAGATAGCAGAAAAATGCTTCAAAATGTTGTGTTTAGAATCCGCAGGCTAGTCTGTGTTAAATGTGAGATGTAAAAGAGCAAGGCAGTGCCGTGAAGGCATTCCACAGATTATCTCTAAACTCACAAATAACTCACATTCAACCCTGGTAGTCATTACAGTAGCAAGTCTGACCTTGATGTTGACGTTTTACCCTTTGGAGTTTTTGTGTTTGCTTTAAAGCATAAAATTCATTYTTCTGAGCTGCTGTTGGTCAAAGTGTGATCTGGGCGCTTCTGTGGATTCATTGTTAAATCTGGTGTCCACTGCTTTACATACAACATAAAATAACCTGTTWATGTACTCACCATTATATTGGAGGCCATTGTCTTGTATGGAGAGCAGTTTTGAGGAAAGCCTTTAACAAAACCTTTACTCAGGAGAACATCTCTGTCACAAACTGAAGCATTCGGAGTCTGAAACAACAAAAGATGCCAACAGAACTTTAGACTATTAAGTCTTAAGTCAGTAGCGCAGAACAACAACAACAACAACAACAAAACATTAACTGTCGACAACTGTGGGATTATTTTAAAAAAATGTCTTTGGTAAAAGAAAAAAACATGTTGCTTTAGAAGTACTGTTATCAGTGCAGCCTTTTGCATCTTGGCAGGGTGAAGAGGAAGTGTGCTGAGCCACTAGTCATGATAAAATGACCAACCAAGCAAAAAATAAATAAATAAAAAAGAACTGTTACGTGCGTTTTTGTATTTATTKTTTACTATCTATACAGATATCCAGAAAAAGACAGCAAATTAAAGGGACCCTCTGTCATTTACGGACCAAAGTAGAAGTCCAAAGAGGGCTTTGAGTAACATAACATTGTGATCAGAATTRGTGGAAGGCACTGGGTTTGTTTTGACCGTTAAAGTTAGAGCAAGGCCGTAAGGAA